GGAGCAGACACCAGGCAGCGAGCGTGCTCAGCCCCCTCCTGGTTCTGAGCCTCCCCAGTCAGCCCCTTCCCAGTGCCACCTGGCAGATGTCACGGGCGTCCAGGCAGGGGAGGAATGGGGTCTGCCGAGAAGGACGCTTGGAGTTTCCAGAGCAGCCATTGGAAAGGCAGCAAGGAAATGGACGCGAGTCTGAGAGAGAGCTGCAGGTTCCCGGGTCCCTCTGGGGGCCTGGGCAACTTGGCCCCAGAACTGCCCTGCCCGCCTCCCACCGGGGCTCACAGGGGAGCCCACTCTTCTTGTAGCAAGCCTTCCTACCTCCTCCTGGACAAGGCGCACGTGTCTGCTTCTACTGCTACCCCATTAGAAAGTGCCCCACTGTTCAGGTGCCATGTCCCCCACAAAGGATGTTCCCTGCCCCCTCACCAGGTAGGCCCTAGGCACTTTGCTCTTAACAGCACCCAACACTCGTCAACATCCGCCTCGTTCCACGTTAGTGTAGTTCGCACGTGTGCACCTCCCCGTCCTGATCGTAAACTGTGAGAGCAGTGACATTTTCTGTGCCTTTGTGCCTCCTGCCCCACGTGCATGCCGGGCACGTAGTAGGTGCTTAATAAATGTTAATGTCTGAATGAATGATGAGTGAGTGAGCGACTGAGGGCCTCATTTATTCTGAGTCTGGCTCCCAGAGGGCAGCCACCTGGTGTGGGAACCTCTGGGTGAACTGTAACACACTGTTCTGCCTTGAGTCCTTTAAATTCCTTCTGGGAACCTGAGGGGCGTCTGTCTGCCAAATTCTGTATCCTCATATTCCAGTCTCCCGTGTGAGGACGCGGCCTCTGACATCTGCTTTTCCCTGCAGGTAATGATGTGGGTCCATCCTCGACAAATAAGACTGCAAACAAGTTTGAGGGACTGTCTCAGCAGTCCAGGTAAGCCACCTGTGTGCTACTGTCCTCATGGCTGCAGGGCCCAGAGTTAGAGCCGTGGGTCTGAGCGGCAGCCTACCGCAAGTGTGGCCTGTGGCGGGTGCTGACTGTGAACACAAACTAAACGTTCACTCTCGGAGTGCAAACATCCTTGCTGCTGTGCCAGAATCAACAGTTCTCTGCTGGCACAGTCTGCAGGGCATGTTTTTGAGTATTTCTCCTCCATCCTGGTTCCAGGTGGGAACGGACCGCACATCCCTGATGACCAGAGTCTGTCAGCATGAGTTTTTGTATTTCATCTTTTAACTAAGTAATTTTGTTGTGTTACCGTCCCTCTAGATTCCATTTTGCAGTTTGGGGAATCAAAAGATAACCCTCTGGGAAATCCGATAGCCCAGAGATTTCCAAACATAAAAACATGACTCTTTCCAAGCTCCCTATTTGTAAGATTTTTTTTTCAGCTGGGCTAGAAGCGGCATCCTTTTTTCCCTCCTTTCACTGAAATGGGATACTTTAGAAAGCCTTCTATGGACATCATTTATCCAGTCCCAACACGGAGGATTCTCTCTAGAGGCACGATCCAAGATAAGGACACAAAGAGCCACTTCCAGACCCAAAACCCCAGGGAGAAAGAGTCAGCTGGTGTGTGGGGATTCCTTTCCAGAGCTCATCAAAGATAAAAAAGACCAAAATCCTCATTTTGAACGCCACTATCTTGTTTAGTCTTTGCAGCCCTGTGACATGACAGGCCCCATTACTGCTACGTTCAGCTTTGTAGATGAGGGAGCTGAGCTCCGAGAGGTCAGGCGGTGGCAGATCTCAGAGCTGGTCTCAAATCCGTGCGGCTCCAAACTGCACACCCCTGCTGCCTGGCCTGGCATCCCTGCGCTGACCCCCTCTTTCAGCCCTGCTCTGGGGACTCAAACTGAAGTTCTGGTGGCCCTCCTCCAGAGGGGGAGAGGGTCTGGCATGCAGGGAGTGCCCACTGAATGTTTTTTCAGTGAGACCCGGCCCCCTGTGGACACGCGTGCATGCATACACATGCACACAGCCCACTGGCAGCTGTGGCCCAGTGTTCATTTCCACAGGAAGAAGCCCAGGGCCGCACACATGCAGTGTAGACCCCAGGCCTTCTGCGCAAGGCATTTCCGAACCTGGAGGCTTGGCCTCAGGAACTCGCCCAGGAATAACCATCACACTCACGTCCGTAATTGGCAGGCGTGCGTCCCTGAGAAGATGCTGAGGCAGGCCCTGAGAAACACACCAAAAATGTCCACAGCACAACCCGCTGGTGTTTGCTGTTTCTGGTTTAGTAACGGGTTTATCTTGACAATATTACCCTCCAGTAGCCCAGAGGTAGTAGGGCTTCAAGTGAGCTGAGGACAGAGCAGTTAAGAGCAAGGGTGATGTGAGGGCCAGAATAGAAGATGACAGCACATGCGTGTCATCTCTCTGTGACTCAGTTTTTTGTTTAGTTCGTTTGGCTTTTCCTATTCTTTTAAATGCAATTAGGATAGAAGGGTAAAGAATCCAATTCTTAGGACATGAAAGGACAGAAGAGGAGACGTGAGATATTTCAAGGGGCTCTTGGCAGGCACAACTCGGGCACTTGGCTGCTATTTCTCCTTGGGTCTGCAGCGCTCCTGTGTCCTCTGAGACTCATTGTAGCTTCTTGTCAAAGGACAGTGTGGGCTCCAACTCATAGATGCCACTTGTAGCACTGGCATCTCAGGGGTGGCAGGGGTGTGGGGGTTAACATTTGATTATTCAGACTTCTGTTCCAGGGACCTGGGCAGTTTTCCCTGCTCGTTTACATGTCCTCTGAAAGGAGGGGAGAAAGCTCGGGGTCCATGGAGGTCTGAGACGCTAGCTGTTCGCGTGGGTGCAGTGGAGGACGTCAGAGCTCTGGGGTCGAGCGGACCTGGGTCTGCTTTTCCATGTCACCACAGACCAGCCCAGTGTCCTCGTCTGAAAATGGGGACAGCGAGAGTTAACGTTGCAGAGTCACCGAGATGAGTTACTTGGGGACACATCCTGGTGTGCCGGGGGCTTTCATCAACATCATTACCTCAGGGAAAAAGTTTCAAGAGAAGGAGTTAAGCTTTGTTACATAGAAATGCCCTTTCCTCTCCTTCCCCAGCCAGGCAAACTCTAAATTATGGAAAATTGACTATAGCTTTTTGTGAAAGAAATTCTTAAAGTGCTTGAATCATAGTTAATTCTGTAGACGCCTATGATTTCCTTGAATAATTCATCATTACTGGTATTAAAGCATTTTTACATCCTAACTTATTATAATTCTTATTAATTAGCACTGGATCTGCAAAGACAGCCCTCGGCCCAAGAGTTCTTCCTAAACTACCTCAGAAAGGTAAGATTTCTCTTTCTTGTAGTCACATGTAATTAGGGTCACTGTGCCCTCCAAGGGGACAGGGGTTCTGTCTCTTTTAGCTGCGGCTCCACCCCAGATGATGAGTGGCACTTGGCATGTGTAGATGCCCAGTAAATATTTTTTCAGTGAAGAAAGGCATTTTATGCACTCACATTAGGTGTGATTAGCCAAACCTTGTTCTTCCTAAAAAGCACAAGACTCTTTCAAAAGCTACTTATTAGAGCCCCCAGGCACCATTCCTTCTCCTTTTGCAAACATACTCAGCGAGACCTGGGGACCAGTGGCAGCTGTACCGCTTCTTAGCTGTGTGGCTTGGGCAGGGGACGCAGGCACTCCAGCGAACCTCCGATTCCTCACCTGTAAGTGGGGCAGGAATACCTGCTTCCTGAGGTTTTGTAAGCACGAAATGAGATCGTGCTTCAGAAAGCCCCTAGCTGATGGGTGGCACAGGAACCCTTCCCTGGGATGGCATCTGTCGTGCAAAGTCGAGATACCTGTGCTCTGTGAGGCACAAGACAGCAGTGTCTGTAACTCCTGCTGCTTTGCCAAGGGGGACATTCAGCTCTTTAACCATATCTTCTCCAGCCCTGCCCGAGCTTTCCATCTGTAGGACTGAAATGTCCGTGTCCTTATCACAACAAAAATGACAGGGCTCCCTTGCTTTCGTTGCAGTGCTTTAGCGCCGCAGGACATCCCCCTCCCACCCAGGAGCCTTTGGCTCATTCTGTCTGTCCTCCCTCCAGCAGACAGGCCTGCAGGCTAGGGACAGGCAGTGAGACCTCTGACCCCAGAAGTCGGACTAGGGGTGAGTGGTGGGAAGCTGGTATTCACTACTCTCCCAAGGTCGTCAACAAAGTGACATATTTGGGGAGGAGCGTTGGCTGGTCAGGCCAGGCCCCTGCGCAGGAAGAGGAGGAAGTCAGACGACAGCCAGTTCGTTCTCCTGGAACACAGAGGGAGGCTTCCCCTGGCTTTACTGAGCCTTTATCGAAAGTCATTTGGTTTTGTTTTTTTAACCTTGGCCCAGAGGGCTATCCTGACCTCGGCGGTTTGAGCCAAGTTTCCCAGGCGCTGGCCTCCATGTCTGCAGTCGGCCTGCCCCTTTCCAGTCCTGCACTGTCCCCCGTTGTCTGCAGTCTGCCCCCCTGCAGTCCCCTGCAGTCCCCTGCAGTCCTTCATCATCCACCCATCGGTCACGTGCTGCTGTGAACCCCGTCTACCTGCCTGTCCAGCTCTGTTCCTCTCACACCCAAACCCCAATGATTCTTAGTCCCCACTGGGACCTCCCATGACTGCTGCCACCTTCTCACTGTCCCACTTCCCCTCGTGTCCTCCTCCTGAGCCAGCATCACTCCTAACCTTGTACCTCATCTCCCACGTCCTCCTGGGCTCCCCTGATGGACTGGGCCTGACGGCAGAAGCACCATCGGGACCGTGGTTCTGCTCGGCTTCGTGACCGAGCGGCCCTCTCTGCCTCACGTCCCTCCAGCAGTGCGCTGTGTAGTTTCGGAGGAGTGTTTGCTTGTCTGCCCTTCAGAGTTAAACTGCAGCTCAGAGAGGACGTTTAATTGGAGAGGAGAAAACACCGAACCTGTGGGAAATAAAAGGGCAAAGGTCGTGCAGGCTCCCATAGAGGAGAGACTTGTCTCTGTCCTTATTTTGTGTCTTATTAGAAAAGTAATAGATATCCATTCCAGAAGGTTTGAAAAAGAAGAAAATACCGCCTGTAGTCTTATCACCAAGATAGACAGTTGGGTGTTTCCTTTTACTCTCAGTCCTGTGCTTTTTTTGTTTAAGTTTCCATTTAAACTGATTTTTTTCACAGGATAAAGCAACACCATTTTCCATAGCGTAAATGACATGACAGTATAGCTCTTGCTGGCTGCATAGTATTCCATTGTCTGGCACCGGGATTTGCTAAGCAGCCTCTGCTGGTGAACATTCACATCATTTGCAGTTTTGTCGCAATGCGCAGAGCTGTGCTGAACGTGCTAGAGCAGACATCTCAGTGCCTGGCTTTAGTCTTTTTTTTTTCCCCCCCTTGAAAAAATTTCTAGAATCAGAGTTGCATGTTTCGAGAATTTTGGCTGCCCAGCACTTACAGTTTCTCTTCCCCATCAATATGACTCACAACAAGGCGCCCCAGCCCCACTGCCTTAGGGGATCTCCCAGGTTTCCCCCACCACTGCCTGCCTCAGCCTCCTGGCTGCCCGATTTTAAACTTCTAAGAGAGGAACCTGATGGGCCTACTTTAACTTTCTGAGCGGAGCCGCATCGGCTGAAAAGAAAGGGGCCCGCCCGTGGGCAGGGTGCCCTTGAACGTAGGCTCCTTAGGACAGGAGGGGGCTGGGCAGGCCCTGGCGCAAACAGCCACGTGCAGCTTGTGACGGTTTAAAACACGGGGTGTATCTTTTGTGTTTTGTGTTTTTTAATTTTCAGAATGTCTTTCTATGAATATGTTGTATTTTGAGGATGACTCTCTTTGTGTGACTCCCTCGGTGTGCCTTGGTCAGCTGTTTCCTCGCTGAGCACATACTATGTGCTAGGCCCCTGCACCAGGAGCCGGAATTACAAGAATAAGGAAAAATACTAATCGTGGCCTCAAGGGACCCAGTCTATGATAAGAGTACTGTGATGTCGTACTTAGACCCTGCCAGGCCCTGGTGGCAGTTCTTTCCATACATTAACTCATGTTAGAGATGAGGAGGCTGAGGCACAGAGAGGTTGTGTACGTCGCCCAAGGTCACTCAGCTAGTGAGCAGTGAGGCTGAGTGGGAGGTGTGTCTGTAATGTCCTGAGTTCTACTGGACAGAGCCGTGCAGAGCTGTGGGCGCGGTTCTGCAGACTGTGGCATCCCCAGGCTGTGGAGTGCTATGCAGACAGGAAAGAGAATAAGAAGGAACTGACTTAGAAACTCTCCCAGACCGAGTAAGTGGGGGGAAACAAAGTCACAGAGAATGTATATATTGTAACCCCATTTATAGTGTTTAAAAGATACGCTCATGCGCACACTACCGTATGTAATGGAGGGGAGGTGGGGGTGGCGAGAGGAGACACCTCCTCCCTCTCAGCTTATGTAGGACGGAAACACAAAATGTGGGGAGCTAGTAATAAATTTGATCCAGCTGCAGAATGGAACAGAATGCAACATTAAAAGCTACATGCCGCTAATAAAGAATTTTATTAACATGGTAAACAGTGTATAGATAAAAGCAGAAAATAGTTTTATCTGTGGAAAAGACATGGAAAAGTCATGAAGAAAGATATTCAAATTATTTAAAATGGCTACCTTTAGGTGGTAGGCTTTCGGAAAACTTCTGTTTTAACTCTACGCTTTCCAGTTCTCTCCAATCTGTATTATGTTTGTAATTACGGGTTGTTGTTTTTTTAATCTGGATTAGTTTGGACATCCTGTTCTTATGTGACTGAGGCATAAAAGCCTTCCAGCCTTCCAGCTTTTATCCTTTTAAAAACAGGCGGCCTGCGCCTGGGTCTGACCCTGAGCTCCTCCCTTCCAGGTCCTCACTTTAGGCCGGTTCTCTGCAAGGTGACTGTGACACGAGGCAGCATCGCGTCCCCACCTCGTGTTCCGCTCCAATGACCTCCCTCTTTCTGGTTGTTTCCCACAGTGGCACTAAGGAAAACCGATACCAGCCATCACCTGTCCCTAGACAAAGCCACCACCACACCCGAAATCTTCCAGAAATCGGCACAGTTGGCAGAGTTACCACAAAAGCCACCACCTGGAGACCTGCCACCAAAACCCATCGAACTGGCTCCCAAACCCCAAATTGGAGACTTGCCACCTAAGCCAGGAGACCTGCCTCCCAAGCCCCAGCTGGGCGACCTGCCCCCCAAGCCTCAGCTGGGTGACCTGCCTCCCAAACCCCAGCTATCTGACTTACCTCCCAAGCCACAAATGAAGGACCTGCCTCCCAAACCCCAGCTGGGAGACATGCTGGCAAAATCCCAGCCTGGAGATGTGTCCCCCAAGGCTCAGCTGCCACCTGATGTGACAATGAAACCACACCCTGTGGACCTTTGTCTGAACACGCCTGCCGGAGACGCCATCCAAAAGCAGGCCTCGGAGGACTCCAATGATCTGACGCCCAATCTGCCCGAGACGCCTGTGCCACTGCCCCGGAAGATCAACACGGTGGGTGGCCAGTGCCACTGTTCATACCCTTGTCCCCTCTGCTGCGCCCTCACCTGCTGGGAGGCTGTGCGCAGCCTGCTCACCTCACCTGCTCTGGGGCAGCATTGTTCTGGGCTGGGCCTGCTGGTTAGGGCCCCAGGCTTTGGGCTACAACAACCAGGGCTCGGGACCCGCCTGCCGGGCCCGCTGTCGCTGTGTGACCTTGGCTGGTTCCTCGCCTTCTCTGAGCCTCAGTTTCCTCATGTACAAAACAGAACTAACAGTAACTGAGCTCCTGGGCGATGATGTGCTGTGACGGCTGAGCAGGATGTAGGTGGCACCTCATAAACACTCAGCAAGTGGGCGCTCTTACCCAGGAACCTTGAGGACGAGACTTCCCCTCTGGGGTCCCAGGAAAGCCTTTCGTTCCCCGATTGGGATCTGGGAGGCGTCCCCCTCAGAGCTTCTCCCTGCATCTTCCTGGGGGAATTAGAGGCAAAGCCCAAGGAGACTTGCAAAAACCTACAATTTGGGTGAAGTCTCACATTCATTCCATCATTTTCATGAAATGCTTTCTGCTCTATATCAATTTTATTTTAATACAAAAATGCTTTTTCCAAAAAAAATTATTTTGTTAAAGTGATGCCCCAGGAAGATGCATGTGTGCCATTTGTCCTGCCCACGGTGGCACCCTCTCAGGGGTGGCAGCACCCCAGGTGGAAGAGCACAGTTTTGGGGAGTGGGGGGAGTGGGACCATGAGGTCCCCCACTGTGCGTGACAGCCCTGCCCCCACTCACATTTTATTACAAAAACAATGTTGCAGTAAAAGCCTGTCACTTCACGAAAGGAACGGGAGGAAAACCCCGCCTTCCCACGTCTGATACACTTTGCTCTTCGTGAGGGCAGCTCCCGAAACCCTGGGCATGGCCACGGCCTTGACAGGCGCCCAATTCCAATTCGTGCACATCCTCCCCCTTATAAATGGTCACCCCTGAGTCTCCTCAGGTGCTGAGTCAGAGCTGAGACGACTAAGGCCCCCCACAGCCCCCGTCCTGTCAGCCTCTCAGACCCCACCTGCCAAACCCCGGGAACAGGGCTGCAGAAAGGAGCAGGGGTGTCAGGGCAACTAAGGGAGAAACCAGGGGACAGAGAGGGGACCAAAAAATGTACACGTGTAGCTTGCTCTTTTAATTACTAACTATTTAGTGAGCTGAGTGCCAAAAACATCCTATAGAAGGTGATTTCTCCATTTCCACCTTTCTGTTTCCAAAGAACTGGAACAAAGAAACAAAGAAAAGTCCAAGTCCAACGGGTCCAAATGCACCACGTTTTTGGGAACTGCCTAGGACCTTGTCACCCCGGCCGCCCTGTTCCCCCAGCATGTGCTGACTGGGGACTTTGCATGAGGGGCCTGAGCAATGTGTTGACGCTGCACATTGTGTTTACATCATGGTTCCCAGAACCATTTGTAGACGCTGCTGTCATCTCTCGAGCTGCTGCTGTGGGTGGGGGAGAGCAGAGGCCTGTGTCTGGGGAGCCGGGTTCTGATCCCTGCCCGTATTGCTTGCGTTCTGATGAAAAGAATGGGTGGCACCTGCTCAGATGCCAGGCTCTGCCCTGATGCTAGTGGAAGGGGGAAGGACTATCCTATCTTGAGGTGACACAGCACACAGAGCATCTGGCAAACATGCTCCCCGCTTTCACAGGGGAGAAACTGAGGCTCAAGAAGGCTCGTCACTTGCCCGAGGTCAGGGTGTTCTTTTTTCCCTTTATTCTATCCTGGCAGCTAAAACCCGGTTTTTTCCCTGTAGGGAAAAAATAAGGTGCGGCGAGTGAAGACCATTTACGACTGCCAGGCGGACAATGACGACGAGCTGACGTTCATCGAGGGAGAGGTGATCATTGTTACAGGGGAGGAGGACCAGGAGTGGTGGGTACGTACGAGCCCCGTGCTGGCAGGGAGACGGCGCCCTCAGCTGCGGGTCCTGCCCGTGCGTCACTGCCCGGCAGCCTTTTAACTGAGCAACTGCTGTCACTGGGTTGCATGCTAGAGAAACAACCGTGGAATTTGAAACTGGGTCAGGAGAATTGACATTTGATGGGCTCCACCCTTGTTATCATACCACAACCTGTGAGCTGTTGGTATTTTCTGATTTTTACATGCAAAACGAAAGCCCAGGAGAGCTGACGGTAGGCAGCTCGTCAGCCGGTGTGAAGCGCCTCTCACCCCTAAGCCTGGATGCTTTGCTCCCCGTTCCACGCTGGCCCAGGCCAGGAGGCGGAGGCCTGAGTTCCTGTTTCCCAGCATCCGTCCTCAAGCGCAGTCCTTAATCCGTGTGCAGGTCCCTGTAAAGTTGGGCCTGATGCCTTCCTCGTGTGATTAAATGAGAGTATGTGTGAAAACTCCTTTGATAGGAAAGCCTGCTGCCCAGGTGTCAGGAAGGGAAGGACACTGTCCTCACACAGCGGCTGTCTGGAGATCAGGCTCCTGGGAAATGCCCGGGAAAAGCCCCCTTCTCCCCAGAGGGACCCCGTTCTGTCTGCCAGGAAAGGGACCTGTGGTTCGCGGTTGGGCCAACAGCAGCTGCCAGCGCTCAGAAACACTTGTGTCCTTGCACTCGTGTGTACAACATGTGTACACATGCCTTTGTGTTCCTTTGGGCTTGATCGCACCTGCACGGACTCTGCTTGGACTGAAGCAGCAGCTCCCAGCTCGGGGCAGTGTGGCCCTGCAGGGACACGTGGCAGCAGCAGGGACGTCTTGCTTACCAGGACTTAGGAAGGGCAGCGCACAGGCATGTGGTGGGAGAGGCAGGGATGCCTCTGAGCGTCCCACAGTGCTCGCGAGAGCCCCACACAGAACAGCCTGGCGCAGACGTCAGGAGCTCTGAGGCTGAGACCCCCTGGACCGAGGTGGTGAGGCCCCTTCTGTGTGTTAGGTGAGCTGGCGGTGGCCCAGGTGGCGCTTCCCGCCTGTCAGGTGGGCCTGCTCCTGCCGTGGGGCCTGTTGGAGAGCCGGCATAGTATCAGGATGAGGAGGTGGACTCGGAAGTCCCCGCTGTGAGTCACTTACCTGTGGCCTTGGACAAAGCGTGCCCTTTCTGTAAGCCTCAGCTTCATACTCTGAAAAATGGGACAGCAGTGACCCTACCACACAAGGCTAAGAACCCACACGCCTGGTGTCAGTTCAGACCCCACGAGGTGGGTAGGTGAGGTCTCACCATTAACTCCACTTTCCAGATGAGAA